CATATATGTTGTAGCTCCTTTCAGACACTGTCCCCAAAATGCACACGGCGTATATTTTGTTGTGGGTTGCCACCACGTTGTCAAATATATTCAACACAACTTAACGCCGTTGCATGATAACCGGACGTCCTTTGGGAAAACTGCAAATATAACATGAGCAACATACACATATATTCCTAAAAAAAAACCTGAGTTTAAAACATTTTTTTTTTCTTAAAAAAGTTCGCTTCAGGAAAAAATTTTTTCAGGAGTTCAAAAATTTCGCTTGAGAACAACATCTTCTTCTTGAAGTTTGAGGACAAAATATACATAAACAAGTTAAAAAGTATCAGTCGGATTTGCCGACAGATTAATACCCTCAGCCTAGGTCTACATTATTAAAATATGTTAAGACTTGTGTTCTGTGGTTTTTCAATATATCGAACCATTATAGAGGGATATCCAGAAGATCAATATTGTTCATTTCGCATGTGACCTAATATAAAGGAATTCCAACATTTAATATGTTAAATATGGAAAATGTTGAACTTTTGTGGGGAAGGAAGAAATAGCAGACAGATGTCTCTAAGAAAATTGTAGACTTCTTTCGCATGCGAGTTATATATATTCAGAATGTTCATACTTTATGAGGGAAGTACCAGAAGGAGTAAGCAGACGTTTTGCATTTAATGAGACTCAGAAGGAGTGGGCTCAGATATATTGAAACATAATATGTTTGAAGGGCATCGCTGACTCGTTGCGCATGTTTAAGAGGTTATATTTATTAAATATTTTGAACTTATGTGAGGAAGGTACTAGAAAGAGTAGTCCGCTATTTTCGATATTCCCATCAGGTATTTTGTGTAAATGTATAGAAAAAAAATCGGATTATTATATATTATTCAAAATGTTTGCCTTTGTGGGGGAGGTACCAGAAGGAGTGGTCCGCTATATTCCATTTTTACACAAGATGTTACAATGGTAGAACTATTTGTAAATAATCGGATGATTAAATTTTGATCATTTTTTGTGGAGGAGGGAAGTGGTTCGCCATAGTCCACTAGATTTTATAATGGTAAAAATATTGGTATGTGTGATATTTGATGAAAATGAAAATTAGTTATTCCAAATTTTGACCCTTTGTGGGGGAGGTACCAGAAGGAGTGTCTCGCTATACTCCATCTTTACACCAGACTTTGTAATGGTAAAAATATTGATACGTGTGAAATTTGATGAGAATCCGATATACATTTCGCATTCTATGAGCGTTTAGTTATTCCAAATTTTGACCCTTTGTGGGGGAGGTACCAGAAGGAGTGCTCCGCTATAATCCATTTTTACCCCAGACTTTGTAATGGCAAAAAAATTGGTATGTGAAAATTGGTGTGTGAAATTTAATGAGAATCTGATGTATTTTTCGTATTTTTGAATGTCTTAGTTATTCCAAATTTTGACCCTTTGTGGGGGATGTACTAGAAGGAGTGGCTTGCTATACTCCATCTTTACACCAGACTTTGTAATGGTAAAAATATTGATATGTGTGAAATTTGTTGAGAGTCCGATGTATATTTCGCATTCTATGAGCATTTTAATTGTTTCAAATTTGGGCCCTTTGTGGGGGAGGTACTAGAAGGAGTAGTTCAATCTTGTCCATTCTCGCACCTAATCTTGGGGTAATGCAAATATTACGATTTGCAAAGTTTGAAGAAAATCAAATAATCCGTTATCTTTATATGCGGTGAACTATTTTCAATGAAATTTTTGAACATTTGTGGGGGAGGTACCAGAAGGAGTGGACCGATATTCCCCATCTCCGAACTCGATCTAAGTTTGACAAAAATATTACGATGCACCAAGTTTGGACCAAATCGGATACTCCCTTCGAGAGTTATCGTGCCCACCAGCCAGCCAGACAGACGGACATCGCTAGATCGACTCCAAATGTCCTGAAACGGATTTGGTCCAAAGAGACCTAGGGTCTAAAACCGTTATTTCGACTAGGCACGTTTTGACCGTATCAAATGATATATACCCTCTTTAGCCATATGGCTGAGGGTATAAAAATGTACGTTTGAGGAAAACATATTAACAGAAGTAAGCAAAGGCTATAGGAAGACGGGGCCTACCATGTCATACCATGCACCATTACTTCCGTACATTGACGATTAAAAAACTATAAACATAAATAAATGAATGCATTAGACTGTAAATCTGTCATCGATATTTGGCATCCATTTATAAGCCAAAAGTTCCTTTTCCAAATATAACTCACAAATTGTATCCCCTGAAAACAAGAAAGAAAAGGGTCAGTCGGCTAAACGACTGGGATATACCCTCAGCATTAGTCTGAAAAATGACTAATATAACGACCATAAGCAAAAAAGTTAAAATACTCATAAAAAGCGGTCCCGTTAAAGGATCAAATACTAAAATATGGACCTACGTCCATAATATTTTAATGACATTTTTGTTGACTCCTTAGCATATCAGAGTCCAAATACGGCTTAGTAAGCCGAAAAGCGTTGGTTAACACTTGAAAATACTTAAAATAGGGAGGTATCTTAAATTGGGAGCTTTACAAAAATCAAGGCCTATATGAACATTTTTTTCTAGAGATGTTTATTGTCCTCTAAAAACCTAGGATGTATATTTACTTGTTACTAGGTCAGCAAAATGTTGCAAAAACTTCTAAATATATAAAATAGGGCGACACCTAAAATGGGGGCCAATTCAATTATGGACCTAAGTCCATACTTTTTAACGGAAGCGTGTTTAGTCCATTGGGAACCCTAATGGTCAAAATAGAACAGTTTTCGTTGACATATGAATCAAAAATCCTAAAAATCGGGCGGTATCGTTGTGTGGGGTCAAAATAGAACTGTTTTCATCGAAAAATGAAGCTAAAATCTCTAAAATACTGAAAATAGGGCAGTATTGTTGTGTGGAGGATATGTCAAAACGTGGACCGATATTGGGCATTTTCAAACTTAAACTAAGTTTGGACAAAAAACTACCGTGCACCAAATTCGGGCCAGATCGGGCAGACACACGGACGGACATGGCTAAATCGAATCCAAATTGCCTGAAACGGATTTCGTCTTAGCATATGTGGTGTCTAAAACCATTATTTCGAGTAGGCACATTCTCATCGTATCAGGGTTTATACGATATACCTTCTGTAGGCAAAATGATGACCTAGACTTATATATAGTTTAGTGAAAGAGTTGCAATGGTAGAAATTGGTGTCCTGATCACAGGAAAGGCTACCCGGGTATTTGACACAAAAGTTCGGGTTAAAAAACCAGTTTTCCGGAACTGATTACTTCAATATTGGTATCGTTGGAAAGCTTATGAAAATAACTTGTGAACAAGAAGTAAAATGTGGCCAAAGGTCGACCACCTGAAAAAAAGGGTGTTGGGTATGAAAATCAAGTTTGAAGACAACATATTCTTTAAAAATCGATATTTCAGGAAAACATATTCCTTAAATATCCACTCCACTTTAAATGTCAAATTACAGCCCATTTTGTAGTTAAATGTGCTCACAGACTGTAAGATACTTAAGATTTTTTTGGGCGCGTTATGAACTATTCAAAATATTGGACTAATAGATTGCAAAATGCAAATATGCACACATACACTTTGGCGCGCTTTCTGGGGTCTATGGCAAATTTTGGACCTATGTCCACAAGTTTTGACTGGAATGTTGTAGACTCATGAAACCTTAACTATTTAACTTACCCATGTCGAATTGTGCTCCCCCCAAATGTAAAAATTAGCATTTCTAACTTCGTCGCTTTTTAAGACGTATGGGGGGCTACACCAAAATTTGGACATATGTTGCTAAGTAGACCCCTTTAATGCAAAATTAGAGTCCACGCGACAATAATAAACGGGCATGTAGACCCAAGAAACCTTGAATTTCAAATAACAGACAATCTTCTTTAATTAGAAGGCTACTAATACTTTGTTCTTCTGCAAAAAATACGACTTACGTTTTCCTCTCTATATAATACGATTAAACTTTTTCTTCTGTATATAATATGACTTTTGTTGTCGTCTTCTGTAATGAAGACTGTCTACGTTTTTTCTTCGTTATAGAAGGGGCCTAAGTAAAAATTTTCTAACCTGCCTTGATTTTAGTGTCTACTTTCTTATCGTTATGACAAACATCTCCGCCAATGATGTTTTACTCCCTGTCCTTTGATTTACTATGTTTTCTGTGGTAGAGAAATATTAAGCATGAAAATTGGGATCCAAAAAATCATTTTTCTGAAGAACTTAGGAATTACTGTCAATTCAATGTTCTTCAACCTTCTCATGAAATTATTATTAGGATAATAATTTAGGATTAGGATAATCAAATGAATTTTGATCCGCGTGAAGAAAAGTAGTGTAGGTTATCAGTAGACAACGGAATTTTATTTTTATTATGAATTAGGCTCAAGTTTTGGGACGGAGCATTTTTTGATTCTAAGTAAATTGTTATAGAAACTGATTGTACAGTAAGAAATTCCAAACTTTTATATATTTTTTGCTGGGAAAAATACTTAAAAAATCAACACTTAAAGGTAACAAAATAAAAGTTCTCAAATATACAGTAGACTCTCACAATTTCTAATGATGGATTTTGCTCTATTTATCAGTTCCTGAATAATAAAATATGTGAAAATCAACTGTATATATTGTAATTGTCAGTTGTTCATATAAACACTATGTTTATTGCAAACATAAATTTAAACAAATTAATTTAATTTAAAAGAAACGTGTAAAATTTATATGATGATTTATATAAAGTGTTTTCTTTCGATATTATTAAATATTTTATATATTTATAATACAGTTAGAGTTATAGTGCAATTTTATTACACTCTTAATTTTAAATAAACATTTGAAGTTTTTATATTCGTGTATATAAATAAAGCGGTTTGTATTAAATTATATGACTTATTTTTTTTTATATAAGTATACATTTATAATTATATTATAATGTGTATAATAATTTACTACAAGACCTAATGGAAAAATTGTTGGTCACATATTTTGTATCTACAATATGAAATTAATACAAGATTTAGTGCACATTGTGCATATATTAATTTAACAACATTGCATTGTAAAATAACTACCCGAAAAGGGTTTTGGAAAATTATTGTTGAAGAGATTGCTGTAATGAAAGAAAAATTTCATCATTAATATCTTTATTAAAATCATTAATATCATCATTAATATCAACCTTAATTTTTTTTGCCTTTTTTCCTTTTGTTGTCTATAAAAGTTTTTACTTGTGCTGGGGTTCTGCAGCATAGCACTTCATTTTCAGACACGACCCTCATGCACTCCTTGAGAGATGGCAACTTTTCCATTGAAGAAATATCCCCAAATTCAGCAGTCAAAGCTTCTTGCTCATCGATTGTCCACCGGCATTTTTTTGTTTTTCCGCAAGAAGTATCTGTAAAAATTACACAATAATCATTTCATAAGCCTAAAACAGATGTAACAAACATCCTATTTAATAATGTCAAATGAAAATGAATGCGAACAAAAGATTAAAGTCGTTTAAGAATATAACAGTTTTATCTTTCTTCATTAGCATTCATTTTTTTCGGCATAGCACAGTGAAAAATTGCACACGAAAAACCTGATCAAAACCAAATGCAATATAAATTATGCAAACAAATATGTACTCCAAATTTATTTTTGATTAGAAAATCTAATATAAAAATATTTAAAACAAGTAATGTACTCTGTTTATATATATTGGAAACAACTAACCGATTTAAAATATAATAGAAAAAATAGTTTGTATTGGCCTTGTTCCAGAACCTGTAAGAATCTACTAGTTTTGCAATTTTTTCCGATATCGTAAAGAGGAAATCGGTTAAGGTAGTAAAAACTTTAACATTCCTGCATTTCTGGAACAGACCAATTATTATTGCATTTGTGATTAATCTGTAAAATGTCAAATCGGCCATGATATCAAATCTTTACTGGATTATAAATAAGGCAATTTGGGGAGTTTGAAAGTGCCGGTAGCATAATCTAAAAAAATATTTGTACTGTTTAAATAATTTTGTGAGTGGACCAAAAAGGCCACATTAATACTCAGTAGGAGGGTTAAGTGAAATGAAGTATAAAATCAGGAATACAAAAAAAAAAAATTAAAGCTAGATCATAATGCATTTGATTTTGGTCATGGTTTTCGGTAAATTAACCACTGTGTATTTTGAAACATAAGTCTACGCAAGCTTAGTTATAGTTTCTACTCAATATACTTACTATCAAGTTTCTTATTGTAGGTACTACTAGTCTTCCTTCTTATTATACTTACTACTAATTTTCTTTTTTACCAAATTTGCGCCATATGTAATATTATCTGATTCAACAGATGATGACTCAGATTCGGAAGATATGTTTCCACGAAGATTATCAAAACTATTATTTTCGGAGTTTTCCTCATTCCTACAACCAGCAGCTGACAGCAAAATCTTGGACACTGTAGTGATTTCCGCCATTGGTACCGATACTCTATAAATACTTTTGTGTATATCCTTATGGTGCCCAAGAAAATTTGCTAGCTTATCCACTGTGGCTTCTTCAACGTTTAGCAAAGCTGTATACGTTGCTATATGCTTCCTTAATTTAGTTCCTCTTAATGTGTGAGGAATAGTAGCCCCACACTCTAAGGCAAACTTGCGTAATAACGGGCAAGCTCTTATATATTTTTTTGATATTCCTGATGATCCGGGAGCCGAGAAAATATAGTGATTTGATTTCGGGATTCCGGCACTGTTGCGATGCTTTAATATAAGGTCAACTGCCTTTCTACTTAAAGGATCCAGCAATATGCTGACAGTACGTCCTAATTTGCCTCTTAGGGTAATTCTTACATACTGTTTAGCGAATTCAAAAGATTGGTTAGAAATATTATCAATAAATCCAGCTTCTATATTGTCAGTAATAGTTTCCTTCTTATTGTAGTTTTCAATAGTTATTCTCTCGATCTCACCGGCTCGTCGTCGATTGAACACTTGTAGACATATTAGAGTAGTTTCCAAAAGATTTTTCCAATCATCAAAGATAAATTGTTTAGTTAATGTAGCTATAGAATATACCATTTTAGTTCTTAGAAAATCATAAAGTTGTTTGATATCTTTTTTGTTTGGCAAATCTTCCTTCTTAGATCTTTTTTTGTTTTCTCTATCTTCAATAGCTGTTTTATTTATTTGAGTGGGAGTCTCTTCAACCCACAATGAAACAAAATTGTCCAAAAGGTCTTTCATATCAATATTTTGATTTTTTATGAACTCATTCTTTTGTATGTTCGCACATTTTTTTATCAAACCAGATAAGTTGGTGGCAACTGCTGGAGTAGAAAACCCCCGACCAAACTCCCACTTTGCAGTTTTGCGTAATGCTTCAATTGTCATATCAAACAAATGTGGCTTAAAAATTTCCTTCAACTCCTTTATTTCAGGATGTAATTTTATGCACTCAATTTTGAATCGACCCAAGAGTCTCATGTTCGCTCGGATTTGATCATGGTGGTGAATATCAGGTAACTTTTCGGATAACCTGTTGCCGTATCTAATTATTAGTTCGTCATACCGAATGGCCTGTGTAATTTCATCGTTTCGTAGAACGGGAAAAATCGCTGTTTTCATTTCTGTGTTTGCCAATTCGTGTACGTATTGAGTGATTTTCCTACCTTCAATGAAATTGTTCCGTTTATTTTTTTTATTAGAGCATTTACTAATATGAGTTCTTGCCGAAGTGATGCTATAATACCCTTTACAGTGGACGCAGCATACGTAGTGGTCTGCTTTATGGTATGCTTCTGATTGTTGTCGTCTTGTAACGATAAGTGAACCTGTATTTTTATCATGAGCGGTATTATGTATAAAATCTCCTTCTTTTCGGAGCTTATCAAATATTTCTCTGCGTTTTCGGTTTCCTTTTGGTAAGGCCATTGCCATTTTAACCATATTCTCCTTTTTGTGCCTCAAACAAAAGTGTCGAGCAATCTTACATTGTAAGGTTTTGCAAAACACACAGAAATGTTGCTTTGATTTTTGCTTCGAAAATGGTACTGTCAAAACATCGACTTTTACTGGTTTAGGTATAACCTCTATGAAGGAGCTCACATTTGTGCTATTGTTGTTGTTGCTAGAATCGGGGGGTAGAAATTCTGACGTAGAGTTTCCTGGCAAAGTTTCGATTGTAGAATTTATTGTGCTTATATCCGTAAAACCTACACAGTCACTGGTTTCTTGTGGTTCAATTGCCGTTGAGTTTTTGAAGTGGAATTGATCTGTAGTCCGCATTTCAGGGGACTTTCTATTAGATATTACTCTCCATGACGATTCTTCTAATCTGTCCAATGCCAATAGCGGCGACCTAATTCCGCTAGTTGATCCTGTTTCCTGTAGTTTTTGTGGTTTTTTTACGGATGTGTAACCAGAAACGTTGTGTATTACCATACCATTTGAGTCAGGTGGTAGACAATCGGACGAAAAGTCTTCTGATTGAGTTTCAATTGTAGAATTTATTTTGCTTGCATCCGTGGTATACAAAGTATTATTGGTTACTTTGGGTTCAATTGCGGTCGAGTTTTTTATACAGCTAAGGTTAATATTCTGCATTTCTATATATTCTTCAGGATAATTTCTATTAGATATAGTGCACAAAGACGATTCTTTTAATATGTCAGCTGATGACAATGGCTGCGACTTTTCTATTCCTTGTTCTTTTCGTGGGGTTTCTTCAGATAACCCCAAAGAATTAATTGCTACAGTTTCCCAAACTTCGTTTTCTGGTTCATCAGTTGTTGACCTCTCCCATTCAGTGCATATTTCCACAGTAAAACCTTGAATATATGCTTTAGATGGACAATTTAAGTCCATTGATTTTTCTAATAGCTCTGTTGATGAACAAATTTCTGATGGATCTGAATTATTTTTTGATTTTTCTTCCGATTTACTATTTTTGATGTCCGGCGGTAAAATTGCATTTTCTTTTATTTGCTTTTGTTTAAAAAGTTGTAATTTGTCATCTACAAAAATATACTATGTTAAAACTTTCCCCAAATATATATTTCTATATTTGAAATCAAATTTGATTCCAAAAAAACAATGCTAGGACTAATTAATAACTTCATCATCACCATGATTTTTCAATAAACAGTAATTATATCTATTATAAAAATTATATAGCTATTTTTGTTAACTTACCGCTAGTCGAAATTAATTTAGCTGCATATTTTCCGCCTTTACATTTCACCACACACGTACCTCCTTGGATTTGTGTTATAGATTTGGAATTTACGACACAAAATTCTGAATCGTCATATGTGATCAAGGAGAATTTAAATAATCTATAATAAAAAAATATTTAGTGTCAATTATTTTTGATAGATATTTTTAGTTTTATTTTTAAAACTTTTCTTCCTTCTCCCATAAACTTATGGTTTTTTGGGCTAAGTATGCTTACCTTGATAAATCAAATTGTCCTCTTGATATAGTTTCAAAAGATGAAAAATCTGTCGTATTATTCTCTTCCGAATCCGATGCGTTATTTTCACCATGTATAGTGACTGAAGATATAGGCTCTTTATCTGATCTGTTTGATCCTAGTGGAGGTAGATTTTTTATATACTCTTTCATGTATAACATTGTCGACGGTGAAATATTTTGATAAGCACGACCACGGCTCGCAGGAATTCTTGGTGCTATTTGTGTTTCTTGATTCTCCGCGTTTATTGTCCCCATTAAATTCTCACTTTGTTTCTTCTCTTCAAGATTTTCTTTATTATCTATGAAAATTAATGTATTAATATTTTAGTCCTGGTAACGTTCTAATATAAAATCTAACTCTAATGTATTCTACGGAACTCTACAAAACTCCGACGGATATAATCTTGAGTTTTACTTAATTCGGTTAGTAAGTAAAACATTTTCCTTTGACGCTTTTTAGACTTTTACAGTCATATTGTTTCTTGTGTTTAATTATGAAAAAATGGCGCCTGTGATGCTTTAAGTTTATTTTTATTTATTTTTTGGACAAAGTAGCACGATCTAAATGATCGTTTTTCTATTTTGTGACCAAATTTGTTCCAGAAATTTTACAAATATTTTTGGAAATAAAATAAGAGCAATATTTATAAAATTCCGACGCGGGTTTGAAAATTATATTATTTCTTATTCACCTGCTGTGATTTTTTTCTTAAAAATCATTTTTGCATATTTTAGCAATCATTTTTCATACCCTTTGCATGCTGACAAGGACATGCGATGAAAAAAAGTTATTATCATGATTTCACAATATACAGGCATGTCATGGAAACTAATGTGTTGCATAGACACATAATTTATATTCTTATTTAAAAAAAAACGGCTTAATTATTTGAATATGTTTTGTATATTAAATTGTATTAACTTACCGTCAGCTTTAATGAAAATTGCGGAGTACGAACAGCCTTTATACTTTACAATACAATTGTCGGAATTGTGATGCTTCACGTCTTTTGTTTTGACAACATAGAAGTCACCGTCATTGTCAAACTTTACTAGGGAAAACATGTTGAACTAAAAAAAACTTTCAACGAAATTTTAAAAAATTAACTAATAAAATAAAAGTTTTAAGTTTTGTTTTATTATTATTTTACATCTATTGAAGAATACGTAAAATTAAAGTAAAAAAAATTGGGACTAATAATTATTATAGATTCATTTTCAAATACGCGTCTTCAATCTTTTCTTCCTTTACAAAAAATAATTTAACGATAAAATATGCTAAGCAGAGCTTAAACATACTCTGTGTTTCTTGCACGAATTCGATCGGAAAGCGAAACTGGAGCAATCGCTCTCACTTTTTGATCGCTTCCTCGAGCGAGTTATAATCGCTCGCAAGCAAATCGGAACTCTGAATTAAGCAAAAGTAAAAAAATTCCGATTTGAATTCATTTTCACCCAATATGGCTAAGTCCATATACTTTTGGGTCCACTGTTGTCCCATTTGGAGGTGTGAGATTTCTGAATTCGCCATCAAAATTGGGATTAGACCACCCAATCTATTATTCCCTAAATATATTCCAACGTCAGAAAAAAATGCGATTTGTAGTCACCCAATATGGCTAAGTCCATATACTTTCGGATTTTCAACACTACTCCTTCATTTACTATTAAATTATACCTTATATAGTACTTTTCCAACAGTAATGGTACCCTTTTTTCAAAACATTTCCATATATCCATCTAACACAACATTTCGATTTGCATCTCTACCATATTCAGTACTTTTGCAACTCTTATGATACTCCTTTTCCAAAAGATCTCTACCTTTCCACCCTAACACAAAATTACGAATTTCCACCTCTACTCATTATATTTACGTTCGAATTGTACATTATTAAGTACTTTTTTGTCAATTATGGTACTCGTTTTTTAAAACATCTCCATATATCCACCCACCTTTCTCTACTCAACAATTATATCCTATTTAGAAGTATTCCAACACTTATTGCTCTTTTTCCAAAACTTCTTTATATAACTATAGAGAGCTTTCCATTATTGATTCTCATACCAAATTCGACGATTCTAGATCCATTCATTCATAACATACGAATAGTAACATTTAAAGTACATATTAGAAGTTTTCGTACCCTTTTGGTACAAATTTCCAAAAACGATTTGTCACATCTATCCTACACACCATCGGTGACGCTGAATCCAAATTGCAGAGCTGTAGCTCTTCTCGGTTGCTTTTCGTACCCTTCCAAACGTCAAAAAATCCAGCCTTAGAACTCACCTACAGCCCAACATCAACCCGGACGGAGCCGACTATATGACACCCTACACCACTGCTGTTATGTGCACAAAATTGCATTGGGTTTTTATAGCCTTCACTCGACCTTATGTGTCAAATTTCATGCCTTTTGGGCTAATTTGCACATTTGGTGCACAATGCATCAAAACTCGGATGAAGTTATATATGGGAGCTTTATCTGAATCAGATCCGATTTTCACCAAATTTCATAGAGTTAATTCTTGGTGTACACCAACTACGTGTGCTAAAGTTCATCCCCTTTGGGCTGATATTTCACAGGCTGTGCACAATAAACCAAAAATCGGATCAAGATATAAGTGGGAGCTATATCTAAATCACATCCGATTTTCACCAAATCCCGCAGAGTTAATTCTTGGTGTACATCGGCTACATTTGCCAAATTTCATCCCATTTGGGTTATTATTGCACAGGTTGTGCACAATAAACCAAAAATCGGATGAAGATATATATGGGAGCTATATCTAAATCTGATCCAAACCAAACAAACATTGTTTGCAAAATTACATCTCAATCGGATAATAAATACGACCTGCATTTTGTTCACAAGAATACATGGACGGACATGCATAAATCGATTAAAAAAATTATTCTATGAATATCTTCAAAAGTAACCATGGGTCTATCTCGCTTATTTCTCTCTGTTACAAACAAATTCACAAATACATAATACCCTTACCACCATGTGGTGTAGGGTATAAACACATTCTATTAAAATTTCGGTTTTAAGACTTAGGCAGAAAAGGAAACTTGTTGAACTAAATTTTAATAACAGCAGCATTTGGGGTAGTTTGGACCAAGAAAGGCTGAATTTATTTACACAAAACAAGTAAATAAGCAGCCAATTTCGGCCGGGCCGAACTTTTAATACCTTCCATCATTTAGAAGGAATTTGAAATTTTAAAAAATCCGTCGAAAAATAAAGCTAAAATGAAAAAATACTGAATATCGGGAGATACCGTTATATGGGGGCTAAGCGAAGATGTGGACCTGCATAGATAGGTTGTAGTACCCATTGCGAAAATTAAATACGAAATTTGAAACAATTCCGGTGAAAAATGTCGCTAAAATCATCAAAATACCGAATATCGGGAGGTACCGTTATATGGGGGCTATCCGAAGATGTGGATCTGCGTAGATATTTTACTGGCATAGGTTGTAGTACCCATTGCGAATATTAAATGCGAAATTTGAAACAATTCCGGTGAAAAATGTCGCTAAAATCACCAAAATACCGAACATCGGGAGGTACCGTTATATGGGGGCTATCCGAAGATGTGGACCTACATAGACCATTTTCTGTCATAGGTTGTAGTACCCATTGCGAAAATTAAATACGAAATTTGAAACAATTCCGGTGAAAAATGTCGCTAAAATCATCAAAATACCGAATATCGGGAGGTACCGTTATATGGGGGCTATCCGAAGATGTGGATCTGCGTAGATATTTTACTGGCATAGGTTGTAGTACCCATTGCGAATATTAAATGCGAAATTTGAAACAATTCCGGTGAAAAATGTCACTAAAATCACCAAAATACCGAACATCGGGAGGTACCGTTATATGGGGGCTATCCGAAGATGTGGACCTACATAGGCCATTTTCTGTCATAGGTTGTAGTACCCATTGCGAAAATTAAATACGAAATTTGAAACAATTCCGGTGAAAAATGTCGCTAAAATCATCAAAATACCGAATATCGGGAGGTACCGTTATATGGGAGCTATCCGAAGATGTGGATCTGCGTAGATATTTTACTGGCATAGGTTGTAGTACCCATTGCGAAAATTAAATACGAAATTTGAAACAATTCCGGTGAAAAATGTCGCTAAAATCATCAAAATACCGAATATCGGGAGGTACCGTTATATAGGGGCTATCCGAAGATGTGGATCTGCGTAGATATTTTACTGGCATAGGTTGTAGTACCCATTGCGAAAATTAAATACGAAATTTGAAACAATTCTGGTGAAAAATGTTGCTAAAATCATCAAAATACCGAATATCGGGAGGTACCGTTATATGGGGGCTATACGAAGACGTCGACCTATATGGCCCATTTTCAATACCAAAAGTCCTGCACACATTATATACATCTGAGCAAAATTTCATCAACCTATGTCATTTCGTTCGGAAGCTAGAGTGATTTCCACAGACGGACGGACATCGATAAATCGACATAGAATTTTACGCTGATCAAGAATATATATACTTTGTGGGGTCTAAAATGTATATTTCGAGGTGTTACAAACGGAATGACAAACTTAATATACCCTCCATACTATGTATGGTGGAGGGTATAATAATGCATATATAAGTGCATGGACTCCCGCAAACACAAAGATATAAATAAGGCTTATGAGCAGGGCACCCGGTTTGTGATATTCTGGTCAGGTGCAGCTCCAAATAATTTACATTTATTTTTGTCCTATATGGGGTCGCAACTTTTCAGCCGATGTACTCTATTTTCAACCAAAATTATTGGTCACCGAAAGTATATGGGAAATAACCATATGCATTTTTAAGAACAACACAACAGTTTTTTGTTTCTTTTAAGAACAATAATCCAAAATTTTTTATCACTCTTTTATAACATAATTTGGATGTTATTGATAAATTGATCAAAACACACATTAATACGCGAAAAGCAAAAAAGTTTGTACTCAAATCATGAATTTCAATAAACTCTTGAAGACAAGCAGCATATGGGCACTCGTCACTTCCATGATTTTCTTCTTTTGATCCAATGATTTCAGGTACTCCAAGCGAAGTGTTTCTTAAATTCCGCACAATTGTAGGTAGTTTTTTAAACATGAAAAAATCTGCAAAAGTAAAATGTTTAATAATTGCAAACGATGATCTACGAACATGTACTTACACTTTCCATTGAATTTTGATGAACTGAGCTTCCTGGCATTTGATTTCATTTTACTCCTCAGGTAAGCAAGTTTTTTCATTGTGAGAAACACTGCAAATGGTCAATATTTTCCAAACATTATCTATTTACGTTGATTTTGTTCTAATGTTAAAATAAAATTTTTGTATAGGGAACACGAAATTGATTTTGTTCTTTGGTTTGCTATTTAATTCGATTTTGAGTAACAGGGATATGTAAATATATTTTCGACATAATGTAGCACGACCAATGACATCAACGATCACCGTTTGTATGTTTGATGCAGGGCCGCGGTTACATAATGTTGTGTCGAAAGTCGATACAATCTCAAAATCGAATCGATAAATAGCAAAAGAAGAGAACAAAATCAATTTATTGCTCCCTATACAATAATTTTATTTGAAAGGGCGCGAAGTAACAAACAAAACATTGGAACAAAATATACGTAAATGGATAACGTTTGAAAAATATTGACCATTTACAGTGTTTTTCACAATGAAAATCTTGCTTACCTGAGGAGTAAAATAAAATCAAATGCCAGGAGGCCCAGTTCATCGAAATTCAAATGGAAAATTTAAGTGCATGTTCGTAGATCATCGTTTGCAAATATTAAGCATTTTTCTTTTGCAGGTTTTTTATATTTGTTAAAAACTACCTACACCTTGTGCGAAATTTAAGGAACACTTCATTAATGTGTGTTTTGATCAATTTTTAAATAACATCCAAATTATGTTTTAAAAACAGTAATAATATTTTATGAATATTTATTAGTAAAATAAAACCAAAAATTTTTGTGTTGTTTTTAAAAATGTATATGGTTATTTCATCTATTCTTACGGTGACCAACATTTTTGGTTGAAAATAGAGTACATTTAGACATCGACTCAAAAGTTGTGACCCCATGTAGGACAAAAATAAATGTAAATTATTTGGAATAGTGGAAAGCCTACCTGTCTGGCACGGATTTAAATTCCTGACCAGAATATCACAAACCTCTCTCTATGAGGTTTTGAATGTCGCGCAGTACGAACTCCGCGATAAGAGTCGGCCTATATATGGATCGTGTGCACTGATCATAAGAGTGAATGCACTTATATGTGCATTATTTTGTTTGATTGAATTTAGCCTTGCCTGGTCCCAATTACCCCAAATGCAGCTGTTATTAAAACTTAGTTCAACAAGTTTCCTTTTCTGCCTAAGTGTTAAAATCGAAACTTTAATAGAAAGTGTTTTTATACCCTCCGCCATACTATGGAGGGTATATTAAGTTTGTCATTCCGTTTGTAACTCCTCGAAATTCTCATGTTAGACCCCACAAAGTATATATATTTTGGATCAGCGTAAAATTCTAAGTCGATTTATCGATGTCCATCTGTCTGTCTGTTGTAATTACGCTATCATTCGAACGAAATGACATAGAAGGCTAAAATTTTGCACACATGTTTATTTTGTCAGTAGGCATGTTAAGTTCGTAAATGGGCCATGTCGGCCCACGTTTTCGTATAGCTCCCATATAACTGAACCTCCCAATATTCGGTATTTCGATGATTTAAGCTACATATTAACCGGAACTGTTCCAAATTTCGTAAATGAAGTTCGGAATAGGTTCTACAGCATATGACACAAAATTGCACATTCAGGTCCACGGCTTCGTATAGCACCCATATAACGGTACATCCCGATATTCGGTATTTTGATGATTTTAGCGACATTATTAACCGGAACTGTTCCAAATTTCGTATTTGAAGTCCGAAATGGGTATTACAGATAGAAAATTGCCTATGCTGGTCCCCGTTTCCGTATAGTCCCCATACATCGGTACCTCCCGAATTTCGGTATTTTGAAAGTTTCTGCCACAATCAACATTGATAAACATAGTGGTTAAGGGTATAAATAGTTCGGCACGGCCGAAATTACTACTTACTGTCTTAACGATTTTCTTCATTTAAAAACTCACCTGCGCTTCTATGACTTTAAACAAATCAACATAGTGGACAACGAGAACCATCAATAAAAAAGAGGACACATAAAGTACGTTAATAAAATATGGAACGCAAACCAAAAAAAGTACTGTTCACTATAATAGAGTAAACTTATGATGCAAGTAGGCTTTAATAATCCAAAATGTTTAATAAAAAAAGATACATAACTATTTTTCAATAATAAAAACGCTAACACTGCAATAAATGAAAAATTTTACCTATTTTCATCGTGTAATGTGATGTGTGCCGCTTTATATCTACTTAAACTATTTATACCCTACACCACATAGTGTTAGTTTGTAACTTCGGAGAAGATACATAGGACTGTCCTTAAATGTCAGACTGTCTTTAAATACCAGAATTGCAGGCTACATTTTGAGTTTTTTTCTGAAATTTTCAAGCTGTCCCCACTCTTCAACATTAACCGCCTGGGCCGCCCTTGTGTATAGAACTAAAATCATTTCAATCCAATGAATTGTATTAATTTTCAAATCTTTTAATAATCAATTTATGAAAATAAAAAGTCCGAACACCAAAAATTGAAACAAAATCTAATTATTTTGAATTGAAGGAGCGCCAGACATTATTTAATCACACACGCACACAAAGGGTTCATCGACAGCAGCAGTTTGGCAGTAAATGTATGGGCCGCTTACAAAGCATACAAATATTGAAAACAAAAAAAAAAAAAAAAAAAAAAAAAACATGACAAAAAAGGGTTAATTATGGCAAATGATTCATAAACACTCACACACTTTTCATTACAATTTTCCCTTTACACACCAGGTAAGGAAGGTTTGCACGCTGAAATAAATTTTTAGATCAACAATATTTCATAATAATTATCTATTACCTCACCTTGAATATTCATCTACAATATTTTATTTACATTGCGCTCTCTTCTTTCAAGTGTATTGTTCGGAAAACTAAAAATTGATTTTGATGAATTGATCATGTAACATCGGCTCTGTTGTCCAACAAAGAATAGCGCTTATCGCAGTCGATAATCGACTTGAATATCCCTAAACGCGAATAAAGTAACAAAAGCAATGATCGAAATAAAATTTTAGTTCCCTGAACAATACTTTCGAAAAAGGAGAACGCAAAGTAAACAAAATATTGTACGTGAATAGTTAAAGTGAGTTAGCGGATAATTATTAGAAAATATTGTTAATCAGAAATGTATTTCAACGCGTAAACCTTCCTAAACTACTGGGTGAAGGGAAATATATGCATAGATGGATATAAAAAGTGTATGTTAATGTTTATAAATTGTTTGCATTGAATAACCCTTTTTCTTTTGCCAGATTTTTTGGTTTTTTTAAATTTGTCATGCGGCTCATACATTTTACTGCCAAACTGCTGCTGCCGCTGAACATTTCGTGTGCGTGTATGATTAAATAATGTCTAGCGCTTCTTCAATCCAAAAATAATTAGATTTTGTTGGAAATTTTGATGTTCGGAATTTTTTCCAAACATAAAATTTGAAAATAAATACAATTCATTGGATTGGAGGGAATTCAGTTTTATAAATTATTTTGATCTCTATCCTGCTTGAAAACTCACACATTAGTCATGTTTATGTTGGAGAATTTTCAAATAAAAAATCATAAAGGAGGTTATTCTGAGGAGTTTGGCTTATCTCTATTTTAGTAAAAACTCTAGAATTTTTTTGCAGTGGTTGAAATTGTTGTCCTGATCACAGGAAAGTACTTTTTTCGTGGGAAACGGCCCGGCTTTCCGGAACCGATAACTACAATATGGGTATCGTTGGAAAGCTTATTTTGAACAAGTAGTAACATGGCGGTATTATTTCTATCGCTTTAGGAGATATTTCCAAAATACCTGTTTTCAAAATGGGGTTTTTTGTAAAACACTACCCATTATGGGGTTTCGCAATATTGGTACCAAATTAAATCGTACCTTTTGATCTTTCCAAAATGGTATAACATAAAAATATGGCCAAAGGTCGGCCAACTTAAAAATGTAATGTGTTGGAAATACCCCAGAGGAGAAAATCTCAAGTCACGGCCGAAGGCCTGCCACCTAAAAAGATATTGAATAGGACTGTTTCCGTCGAAAAATGAAGCTGAAATCTTTAAAATACCAACAATCGGGTGGTATTGTTGTGTGGGGGATATATCAAAGAGTGGACCGATATAAGCCATTTTCGAACTAAAACTAAGTTTGGTCAAAAAACTACTGTGAGCCGAATTTGGGCCAGATCTGGGGCTCCGTTTGAGAGTTGTCGAGCTCACCAGCCAGCCAGACAGACGGACGGACATTGCTAAAGCGACTCCAAATTGTCTGAAACGGGTTTACTCTTAACACGTGTGGGGTCTAACACTATTATTTCCAATTGGCACATTTTCATCGTATGAGGGGATAAAAACCAAAAGAGTTAAATGTCTTTTGGGAGCTCCAGCTTTGATCGGGCTGAAATTTTTGCCATAGTTAGTCCTCATCTTCCTGACCACAACGACATACATATTTTCGAGGGGAAGTCCATACTTCCCGAGAAATGGGCATTGACTTTTCGGAAAATCACCATTATTACTGCTATAACAATATGCATATCATTTTAAAGCTCACGAAGAGTACTTTATAATGCGGACAATACAGAAGAGTTAATAATGGTGATATATATCAAAAAGTCAGGACATATATCTCGGGAAGTATGGACTTCCCCCAGAAATATCAATATCGTTGTGATCAGGAAGCCAAGGACTTACTATGGTAAAAATATCAGCCCGATCCGAGAGGAGCCCATTATGAACCCAAAGGTACTATTGTAGGAAATTTCCTAAAAGTCAAGACCCATATCCCGGGAAGTATAGACTTCCCCCGGGAAACCTATATATTGTTGTGATCATGGTCCCGGAGACTACCCCACCTCCAATCTTACTCCATCTTTTATAATAAATAATTTGTTTCTTATGCATAATTAACTGTGCAGTTACTTACATTTTAATACTTCTTCAGCAGACGCACCGATTTCCTTAAAACCTCCTGGTTTTTCTTCTTTTTATAAGAGAGGGAAGACACACTTGCTCTTCAAAACGTCTTTTTTTAATTCTGCAGCAACTTTATTTTAAAATTTTTCTTTTATTTTTATAATTGGAAATTGCGCTATAAACTGTAAAAACCACTCCGATTTATTTCACACAGTAACAACGAATGACGCGCTTTTGAAAAACTTGCACAATATGGCTTCACGCAACATTAAACTACAACACTGTTGCCTATGAAAAATATCAACAGAGATGTATTTTTCATGCCGAAACCTTCGGTCCGAAATCGACTCGATTTAAAGAAATCATGATATAAGCCCCAATGTTTTCCCCTTTAGCAGAAGGAACCAAGTAAAATGAATCTCATGTCAACTTTGAAAAGATAAAAATCTTAAAATATGTGAAAATCTAACAA